CACCAGGTGGTGCCAGGCAGCCTCCAGCCATTGCTGGCAGGCTTGCAGCAGCAAGTCCAAAAACTGCAGCAGAAAGCCCAGGGCAAGCTCTGGCTCCATGTTGCCAGCTGCGGCGGCGTCCCCAAAGGGAAGCACCGACACAGACGGGCGCAGAGAAAAATGCTTTGCTGTCCAGAAGGTGCAGGGCGAGCCGTGGCTCCATGTTGCCACCTGCGGCGGTCCCCCCCGAAGGGAAGCACCGACACAGACGGGCACAGACACCAACGCTTTGCTGTCCCTCGGCGAGGTAGGCAAGCAAGCGGAAAAGCTGAGAACCGGCTGTCCAGCGGGGTCCCTTTAAGCATGAGCCTCAGACAGCAGCCACACAAAGCAACTACTGACCTGATGCCCTGCTGGAACCGGTTTCAGCTGCCCTTAAATGTGCCCCAGCGTCCAATCAGTGTGGACGCGCTAGTTCAAATTAGCAAGGAACTCCTTGCCTGAGGAGTTTGTGAAGGCTAGGACTATAACAGGGTTTAAAAGAGAACTAGATACATTCATGGTGGTTAAGTCCATCAATGGCTATTAACCACGATGGGTAGGAATGGTGTCCCTAGCCTCTGTCTGGCAATGAGTGACAGGGGAGATTACCCATTGTGTTCCCTCCCTCTGGGGCATCTGGCATTGGCCACTGATGGCAGACAGGACACTGGGCTGAATGGACCTTTGGTCTGACCCAGTCTGGCCATTTTTATGTTCTTCTTATGTTCTCATGTTCTCCTGCCCCAGCTTCTCCTGACTCCTCCAGCTGCTGTGGTTTGGCAGGGCTGGAACAAACTCCTCCCGCTGGTTCCTCTTCTGGGGAGGTTCATAGAATCATACAATCATAGAACTGGAAGAGACCTCAGATGGTCATCAAGTCCAGCCCCCTGCTCTAGGCAGGACCAATTCCATTCCTTCCACGCCCACCGCTCTGCAGAGACTGTATCCTTAGCTGCTGATAGTCTTTAATGACCAACCTATTAATACAGCAATGACTCCACCCCAGCCTCCTCCATCCAAGCTCAAGGAGCATGAGTGAAGAGAACAGGCAAGACCAATTCCATTCCTTCCACGCCCACCACTCTTCAGAGACTGTATCCTTAGCCCCAAAAGCCAAGGAAGCAGCTGGTTTACACAAGAACACGTGAACGAAGGGGGTCCCCCCAGTCTGGATTTTACCACACTGTCCGATTTTGATTTGTGTCCGAGTGCCATTTTGTATTCCCAAGGGGATCCGGCAGTACAGAGAGCGGGGGGAAGGCCCAGGTCACCAAACCACACCAGCCCCTGCTAAGCTGGGGCCATTTCCAACCAGCAGGCAGGATCCTTGTGATGCTGCAGTGGCTCCCGTCCCAGCCATGAGCAGGACACAGATGACGTGGGGAGGGAGGTGGAGACAACTCAGGGATTAGTTGGGGTAAGGAAGGAGAGGAGTGAGTAACAGGGATGAGGGAGCGGGGGGAGATGTGGAAACAGAGCCTGGCCATGGACAGATTAAAGGGTCATGGGGAGGAGCTTTGATGGAAGGGTTGGGGCAGAAGCGGGGGACGCAGAGTTCCAGATACCAGCAACTAGAACTGGGGCAAACCTGTGAATTGTACATAGCTGGAAAACCCAAACTGTCGCATTGACACCATATTGTAAAGTCAATGAAGAGATTTTGTTTCTTTCATTGGCCAGCCAGTGATTCAGGGAACAGGGCTGAGCATCATGTTAGCAGCCAGCTCCGCACAGAGCTCAGTCCGAGAGTCAGAGAATTGGGAGAAACGATCAGTCCGCAGGAGTCATGTGCCAAAGTAGCCTGTCCCGGATCTGTTTGGTCCTCACCCCGTAGATGATGGGATTTAGCATGGAGGGCACGAGAAGATACATGCTGGCAAAGAGAACATGAAAATACAGGGGCACATCGTAGGTGAGGAAGGAGAAGAGAGCTGGGGTGTAGGACGCTAAAATGACAAAGAGATGGGAGCTGCAGGTCCCAAAAGTTTTGAGCCGGGCATCCTTGGTGGGGAGGCGGAAGATGGCCCTGAGGATCTGGGTGTAGGACACAGCGATACAAGACAGATCCAGACTGGTCACAAAGATTGCCACAATGAGTCCATAGTAGTTATTTACACGGATGTCGGCGCAGGCCAGCTTCACTACGGCGATGTGCTCACAGTATGCATGGGGGATGATGTTGGTTCTGCAATATGGCAACTGCCTCGCCAGCAGGAGATAGGGGAGTGAGAGTACAACACCACGCCCCACCACGGCCAGGCTAATCTTGGCCACCACCATGAGGATGACATTTGTTCTGCAATATGGACACTGCCTCATCAGGAAAGGATAAGGCAATGCCAGGATGCCACCATGCAGAAGAACGACCAGGCCAATTTTGGCCACCAGAGCATTTGTTAGGATGGTGGAATGTCTCAGAGGATGGCAGTTGGCCATGTAGCAATCCAAAGCCATGGCCACTAAGACCCCAGACTCTACCATGGTGAAGCCATGAAAGAAGTACAGTTGGGTGAGGCAGGCACTGAACTCAATCTCCCTGGCATTGAACCAGAGGATGGCTAGCATTTTGGGCAGGATCGAGATGCACAGAACCAGGTCTGTGATGGCCAGCACGCAGTGGAAATAATTCATGAGCCCATGAAGGCTTGGTACCTTCTCCACAATGAAGAGGATGGTGAAGTTCCCCACAAGGGCTATGGCATATATGGTTCAGAAGGGGATGGAGATCCAGCCATGGGCTCCCTCCAGGCCAGGAATGCCCAGCAGGATGAAGGTGGAAGGGTTGGTGAAGTGGGTTGTGTTGGAATCTGACATGGAACAGGGGAGAAGGCATCCAACTCTGAGGCACAACCGTGTTTCCTGCACCCGCCCAGAGTCTAGGGTGATGGTCACAGTACAAATGCCTGGAAGGAGAGATGATGTTCATATGAGAAAACACATGCACTGCTGGAGGCTGTTCTAATGGGTGAACCAAATTGGACACTTAGAAGGTCCTTATTCTGGGTACAGCTAGACTATGCTCTTCTTTTAAAAGGAGACATGTAAATTCAGTGCTAATTTGCATATCCTCTTCTGATTGCTTTTTCGAAAGTTTTTTTTTTTTGAAAAAGAAAGCAATTTAGATGTGGTTCTTCCAAAAAAATCCTCTTTTTGGATAGAGCCCTGCACACCTCATTTTTGGGGGAAGAAGGGTTCTTTCAAAAAAGGTTTTTTTCCAAAAGGACCATGTCTAAACTTTCTTAAAAAATGCTTTAAAAAAGCAATCGGAAGACGATATGTAAATTAGCACCAAATTTGCATTTCTCCTTTTGAAAGAAAAACATAGTCTAGATGTACCCTCAGAGAAATGAATCTGAATAACTGACCCTCCTCATGCCAACGCCATAGTTAATGATGCTCTATGGCTCAGTTATTCCTACCTGAGGTGGACTGGAAAAAGCAGCAGGACTCCTGTATCTGGATACCCATTATCCCTCACTCTTCCTTAGCACAATGAAAGCCCAGTTGGTACATCCCATGCTGTTTGGAGTTAACCATTTCCTTGCTTGCTTATAATATGAGATCCAAAAACATGTAAACAATGGCCAGGCAGAAACATCCCAACTAAACTCATCTCGGGGAAATACCTCGTCCTCATTGACAGCCGCTCTGTGGAAACCCTACTCCTTCTCCACAGAGGACAGGCAATCTTGGGATGATTAAGGAATGGGATGCAGAACAACTTGCTCTGGACATGTGCCCAGTTTTGATCACCAGGGATGTGTCTAGACTACAGGGTTTTGTCGACAAACGTGGACTTTTGTCAACAAAACTATGCCTGCGTCTACACTGCCGCTGAGTTCTGTTGACATAACGTCGACAGAACTCGGCAGTTTTGTCCACGGCTGTAAACCTCATTCTACGAGGAATAACGCCTTCTGTCAACAGAGATCTGTCGACAGAAGGTGTTATTGTATCTACACTCTCCTTTGCGTCTACACTGTCATGTCGACAAAGTGGCTTGCTGTGTCGACAGAACTGGCTGTAGTCTAGATGCTCTTTGTTGACACAAGCTTTGTCTAGACATACCCCTGGTCTGTATGAATGAGATGGGAGACAGAAAGGGGGTTTCCAAGACTGGCTTCACAAATGGGAGAAGCTGCCGCCTGCAGACAGGGGGGAAAGTCTCAGACTCTTATGTTTAGACAAGAGGCAAAGAAGGGAGCATATGAGAGAGGAGATTAAAATGAGGAAGATCCTGATGACACTCAAATGGACAGACAGAGAAGAACACCCAGGCAGTAATATCTGTGGAAAACTTGTACTTCAAAATGGCTGATTCCCCAGAGCTGAAGCAAACTTTCAGCGAAACTGATCGGTGGGTGAGATTTAGACAGAAAAATGGGAGTTCCATAAGAAGAGATAATTGTATACCTAAAAAGAAATAACTCCACAGTCAAGAAAGCAGAAAACTTTGGACAACCCCTCCCCCTCTACATACCACAGTCCAATAGCAAGGAGCAGCTAATAATAAGTGGAAAAAACAGCCATACATAATGAATAAGAAAAAGAAAAAAATAGAGACCAGGACACAATATGGAAGTCATGAAAAGTAATAATCGACATTAAGGCATCAGAGAAATATCCTTGCTTAGCTTACTTAATCATCAGAAGAAGGAGGCTATGGAGTAAAATAAGAACAAAAGAAATCCTACCAAAAGTTACACCCATTCCTAGAGGTGCACAAAATAGCCTTTTGGTTACAGAAAAAGTGGGTGTGTTCAAGAAGTCCTTTTGCTCTGCCTTTGGAAGAAAGCCATGTGCTGTGCCCATATGATCTAAGGTGATGCGACACTTTGCAGTCCATTAGCAGGCAAGGAAGATCTGAACCACCATCTACAGTAGAAACCTAGAGATATAAAAACCGTTTTTAAGTGACCAATCAGCCCCACATCTCGTCGGGATCCAGAAGTACCCAGTCAGGCAGCACCAGAGCAAACCCAACAGAAACATCGAAAGCAAATAACTGACAGTTCTGTGTTAAATGTAAACTACTTTTTAAAAGGGAAAGTTAAAAATTAAAAAAAAGCCAAGATTTGGCAAAGGTAGGAAACAATGAAATAGCTGATATGGGATTAGGTAAAATATCATTATGTCAGTCAACATGTTTTCTGGAAAACCAGTCTGTCGAGCAAACCTGATTTCTTTCTTGATTTCCCGAAGGGACTCAGTCAGGTACCAGGGACTTGGATTATTCTGAGGGAGTTGGTTTCATCCTGGAAAACATTCATCTGACAATGAGCCCATTACAGTATCAGCAGAGCACACAAAAAATGGGCTGAGCACGGCTGACAGATCTCAGACAGCAGCTGTCAATGGCCCATTGGCAGTGAACGGGGCTGTCCTAAGTGTTGTGTTGCAGGGACTAGCTCAAGGCCTGAAGCTATCCGATATTTCTATAAATGACCAGGCGGCCAATAGAAAATTCCTCCAGACACAGTCGGTGGGCGACCCAAAGACAGGCAGAAGGGTTACAATGAGCAGGCCAGGACACATATACCGAATGACCTGGAGTATTTGGTGAGCTGAGTCAATGCAAATACTTTTTTTGTAGTCAAATGCAAATGTGACCTCCGAGAAAAGGAATTGGAGCCGGAATGACCTACGGTAGCTATGGAACACTGGGACAATGAGCATGCTCAAGGATTAACTGTGGACAATCAGTTCATCCTGAGCTCCCAATGCCATGCTCTGTTCAAGGGGGTGGACGGGACCTTAGATCCGTAAACAGGGGAGTGGTGAGTTGGAGGAGAGGAAGGATTTGACCTCTGCACGAGTCGTCGGTGAAACCATCTGCAGCCAGTCCCAGCATTCACATTTCAAACGGGGTGTTGGAAATTTGGGGAGGGTGTAGAAAAGATCCACTAAGGGTGTATCTAGAATACAGCAGGGTTTTTTCGAAAAAGGTGGCCTTTTTTCAAAATAACGATACCTGTGTCTAGACTACCGCCATGTTCTGTCGACAGTAAATCAACAGAACGCGGCGGTTTTGTCAATGGCGGTAAACCTCATTCTATGAGGAATAACAGCTTTTTTTGAAAGTCATCTTTCCAAAAAAGGCACTCTTGCATGAAAACAGGACTTTTTCGAAAGAGAATGTCTAGACTTTCTTTCGAAAAAGCGGCTTGCACTGAGGGTGATTGACTATTGGTCAAAGCTGTGAGGGGAAGGGGAAATTTTTCAACTCCTCATGCCTCGAGGTGCAGACTGGAAGATTTTCCAGAGGATCTGCTGGAGGGATTGCCTATACTAAAAAGGCTAAAGCAGCCCCGAGAGGAACGTCAGTGAGACCAAACTTACACCGCACATGGGGTTTCTCCTGGCAGTGCAGGTAATCACGCTCCCCAAGATGTGATAGCTAGATCAATGGTAGAATTCTTCTGTTGACCTCATGTTTTCTATCCCGGGTTTGGGAAGACATCTTTAGTGTCTGTGGATGTATTTCCTATTGCAAGGAGAGGCAAACACAGTGCTTTGTCTTTAGCAGAGGAATGCTGGTTAGGCCACGGAAGGAGTGCTAGGTTTTGTTCCCTGCTATTTAGAGAGTTGCAGAGAAACTGGACCAGATCCAGAGAAGAGACACAAGGATGATGAAAGGGATCACTTTCCTCTCTTCCAAGTGCCTCAAAATGGATTCCTTAAGGATCCCTTCCATGATTTTTCCAGGAACTGAGGTAAGACTGACCGGCCTATAGTTCCCTGGATCGTCCTTCTTCCTTTTTTGGAAGATGAGCACTACATTTGCCTTTTTCCAATCATCCGGGATCTCTCTCTATCTCCACAACTTTTCAAAGATAATGGCCAAAGGCTCCACAATGATATTTGCCAACTCCCTCAGTACCCTCAGATGCATTAAGTCCGGACCCATGGATTTATGTACATTTAGCTTTTCTAAATAGTTCCTAACCTGTTCTTTACCCACCAAGGGCTGTCCATCTTCATTGCCTTTTTCCAATCATCCGGGATCTCTCTCTATCTCCACAACTTTTCAAAGATAATGGCCAAAGGCTCCACAATGATATTTGCCAACTCCCTCAGTACCCTCAGATGCATTAAGTCCGGACCCATGGATTTATGTACATTTAGCTTTTCTAAATAGTTCCTAACCTGTTCTTTACCCACCAAGGGCTGTCCATCTTCATCCCATCTTGCGTCACTTAATGCATTAGTCGGGGAGCCGACCTTGTCCGTGAATACAAAGGCAAAGAAAGCATTGAGTACTTCAGCTTTCCCACATCATCTAACACTAGGTTACCTCCTTCACCTAGTAGGGGCCGCACACCCTCTCTGATCACCTTCTTGTTAACGTGCCTGTAGAAACCTTTCTTGTTATCCTTCACATCCTTTGCCAGTCGCAATTCCAATTGCACTTTCGCCTTCCTGATAACCCCCCAGCATTCTCGAGCTGTACATTTAAACCGCTCCCTGGTCATTTGTCCAAGTTTCCACTTTTTGTAAGGTTCCTTTTTGTGCTTAAGTTCACCAAGGATTTCCCCTGTAAGCCAATCCGGTCTCCTACCATGTTTGCCTCTCTTGCTACGCGTCGGGATGGTTTCTTTCTGTGCCTTCAATAAGGCTTCTTTAAAATACTG